CAGGTTTAGACCTGTAAATCGAGATATTTCATTCTTAATGGTGTCGCAGAAATCTTCCCCGATGCTTTTAATGGACGGCTGGACGCCGCTGGGAGTCCAGTGGCACAGAGGCGTTGTGGTCAATAAAGCCATCATCGTCATAAACAATTCTGACAACAGCTGTACCAGAAGACAGCTGACTAAGGTTAGTTGACTACCTCGGGTATTTTAGTTTTCTCAGAGGCAGGACAAGACTGGGGTCATTAGCGACAGAGGACGTCTCCACTTAGCAAAGGCAATGAACTAATGATGTCGTTTAAGGATTTGCTCTGGTGCGAACTTGACAGACGCAAAAAACAATCACTAATTATTCGGACTTCTTATATACCCACGAATACGAGACCAAGGAAGAACACGATAGCGTAGTCGGAGGGAATAGTATATTTGGATAGTTGTGCCGAAGTACCGATGCGTTCCAACTAACTGGCTAGAGAGTCGAATACGAGCAATGCAACGTAACACGACAGTGTGCCAAATGGCGAGGATGCGTAGCCGAATGCCTTCATCTTGGCGAGACCAGTCAAACTATCAAGGTCAGGAACAATATCGAAAGTCGTCAAACCCCAGGCTATTGATTTTGGGGGTGTGTGACGCTACAGATCACTCCCCTCTAGTGGGTTCGTGAGGACCCTAAGACGATACCAGCCGGAAGTAAAAATCCAGTTGTTTCTCCACTGGTAGAACTCTTCCGATGGGCTCACTGCGTGAGGTGGCCCCTGGTTGTCTGAACCTTATTCTAGGGTGTCGTGGCGATTAAATAAATACAATACAATAAATGAAATTGTACGTCGGTCGCTGTCATCTGTTCCTTTCGACGTTCCGTTCGGTGCTCGTTGCACCTGGAATGTAAATAGAAGTCTTTAATACCACGAAAACGTTTTGTAAAATTGGGAATTATTTATATATAAACATATCGAAAAATAAAAATTTACGCTTTTCACCTTTTTTCAAAGTTTCCATAAATGGCAGTAAAAACTGGCATAAAAAGGCGAAGCGTACGAGGGTTAGTGCATTGCCGGTAAATAAGAAAGAGTGCCTCGGAAAAAACTTTGTAAGTAAAAAAAGTATGGTTGGCACATTTTATTTCACACCGCTAAGTTGAATACGACTTCATATACTCTGGGAACCTGACGGTTCGACCTGATCGTGTTTTCTGTTGTGCCGATGGTTGTTATAAGTGTGCATTACTAGGCACATCGTCAAGAATTTCGATAATTGAGCTATCCGTCGGTCGGCTGTAGCGAGCTGAAACGTCACTTATAATGGGGTTGCCTTCAAATAAGCTGGTTTCAAACGGTCGATACTGACAGTATCTTCACGTCCGTCTCGCTCAATTATGTAGAATATCTCATGTCGCTTGATCACTTTGAATGGCCCGTCGTAGGGTGGTTCAAGTGGTCGACGAACGGCGTCATGGCGAATAAACACGTGTGATGCCTTGTAAACTGGGGTGAACGAAGACATCAGTCGTTTGAGGTCTAACTGGAGAAGGTCTAACTGAACCCATTGCGTTTGTAAGCCTAGTCACGTACGATGCCCTGTCAGAAACATGTTTGAAAGTTGAAGGGGAAACAAACTCACTTGGTAGGCAAAGAGTGGTCCCATAGACGAGTTCTGCAAGGGTACATCCAGCATCAACTTTCAACGCGTTACGAATACCTAGTAGGACTAGAGGCGGAGCCTCGGTTCACTGAGGTATGTTTGCAGCTGAAAAGGAAGCTTTCAGCTGTCGATGGAAACGCTCTACCATAGCATTTGCTTGTGGATGGTAGGTTGTTGTTCGGAACCGGGTGCAACCTAAAAGTGCTGTTAGGGCGTGAAATAATCCACACTTGGATTGGCGCCCACGGTCGGTTGTGGCGTAAGATGGACATCCGAAGTTCGCTATCGATCTTTCGATGAAAACACCAGCTACTGTTTCGGCAGTAACATCCTTGACAGGTACTGCTTCCAGCACAAAAATATATCCTTGCTTGATCCAACGGGACAAAGTCGCAGCTTGAGAGTTGTGGACGACAACTCATGATGCAGCCCAGGGTCTTCCTTTTGACGCCGAGCTAGTTCAACGAGATCAACGCCCTCGATATGATTTATCGAAGCTATTCGTGATAGTGCATCAACTACGGAGTTATTTGCTCCAGAAATGTGTTGGATGTCTGAAGTGAACTGGGAAATGTAGTCAAGCTGTCACGACTCACGCAGGGAGTATTTGTCAGACTCCGGGCTGAGGGAAAGCGTTAACGGTTTGTGGTCTGTGAAAACAATGAAATCACGACCTTCCACCGAATGTCGAAAGTGGCGTACAGAACAGTACATAGCTAGGAGTTCCCTACCAAATGTACTGTATCTTGTTTCCGCGTCTTGCAGCCGTCTCGAGAAAAAGGCTGAAGGTTGCCACTGGTTGTCAGTCAATTGTTGCAAAACTGCTCCAATTGCTGAATCAGATGCATCAACATCAGTACTCAAAGGAGCATTGGGGTCATGACGCATAAGCATGGTTGCGTTCGAAATGGCTTCCTTGACTTTGGAGAAAGCAAGTCTAGCTGAGGTGTCCAGAGCCACGAACTTCGCAGTTAGGGTTAGGGAGTATACCTTTGTTGTCAATGGTATGCCCAGGGAAGCTGAGTGATTCAACTCCTATTTCACACTTCTGTAAGTTGCCTGTGATGCCATGTTTTTTAAGTCTTTCGAATGCGAGGTCCAAATGTTTGAGGTGAGTTTCCTTATCTGGACTCGCAATTAGACAGTCATCGATGTAGACATGAACAAAATTCAAACCACGGAAGACATCATCCATAAAGCGTTGGAATGTTTGTGCTGCATTCCGAAGACCAAATGGCATGCGCAGGAATTCAAACAGGCCAAAAGGAGTAATAATGGCTGTTTTCGCGATATCTTCTGCTGCCATAGGTATCTGGTTGTACGCTTTGACCAAGTCGATTTTGGAGAAAATGTTCATTCCGCATAAGGTTGCAGTCAAATCGTAAACGTGAGGTATCGGGTAGCAGTCCGGAGTTGTTTTGGCGTTAAGCCTTCGGTAATCACCGGTTGGACGCCAGTCGTTGCTATCCTTTTTGGGAACCATGTGCAATGGCGATGCCCAAGGACTGTTTGACGGTCTGATAATGCCCAGTTCGAGCATGTGGTCGAATTCGCTTTTCGCCGTTTTTAGCTTATCGGGGGCTAGACGGATGCCACAGGTGGACCTGTGGTTGTGACGTGATGCATAACATTGCTGGTTATGCACGGAAGAGTGTGCTTCGGTTGTTGCAACTCTGGATATTTCTCCAAAACTGCTTGGTAGGACGCGTCGCCTGATTGTTTGGTTCCAACGATGGCTAAACTCGGACCTACATAGGTGGTGCCGCCAATAGATAACTTTGTGTTGTTATCTATCAGTCGTCGACGGCGAGCATCTACGAGTAGATCGTAATGGTTTAGCAAATCTATGCCAATGATGGGCATAGAGACGTCAGCCAGGAGGAAAATCCAGTGTATAGGTTTGTGTAAACCTAAGTTGAGGTAGGCATACCGTCCCCCGAATGTCGCGATTGCCTTGCCGTTGGCTGCTTGAAGATTGAAGGATGGGTCATGATGACGCTCCTTTGTCCGTGCGGGAAGAACGCTAACTTCTGCGCCGGTGTCGACGAGGTAGCGGACTTTCGTTTTAATATCCGTGACGTAGAGCAAACGGCTGTTTCCGCCGGCTACGGTTGCCGTGAACACGTGCCGGCGTGACCGTTTCCCGAGTTTGTGTCCTTGTTAAAACTGCATGGTTTACGACATTTTCTGGCTTCGTCTCCGTAAGTATTATGAAACCAACACCATTTAGGGTTTTCCACCCTGTTAGGTTTAGTTTTGGGGAAACCACGAGAGTTGCTGCGATGCACCAAGGTGCGTTTGTGTGAAGCGCTACGTGAACTAGGACTTCGGGATCGTGGCAACTGTTTAACGAGTTGCACAGCTTCGTCACCTCTGAATCCTGGCTCTCTGGTTTGTCGCAGACAGAGTATACGTTGGAGACGAGTCTGCTAGAAATCTCCAGTATTTTATCTGCCGAGGCTGTCAGGTCATCGAGTGGGACTGACTGGAGTGTCACCAACACGGTTTGCACCGGTTGTGGTAGTTTCGAGAGAAATAGTTCTCGGAAAAGGCCATCGTCGAATGTTCGTGCACCCACAACTTCTCGCATACGTGCGAGGACTTCAGTAGCTGAGTGGCTGCCTAGCTCGATGTTACGAAGCAATTCGTCTAGGCGCTGGCGATCTGTGAGATCGCTTTTCTTCAAGAGTGCGGCCCTTAGAAGTGCATAAGGATTACTTACTTCAGGATTAAACATGTGCACTGTAACATACCTGTTTAATTCTCGCGGTAGTGACCGTATGACGGCAAGAAATCGAGAATGAGGATCTGAGACACCCTGTTCTCGAAAATCGGCCTCGGCATACAGAAACCATGTTTCCGCATTGTCTGGCCAATATGGCACGAGTTGGATCGTGTTCGTAGTCGGCTTAATACGAATAAGCTTGGGAGTGTGGTCGGACATGAGAAAGTGTAGTAAATGGATATATAAATGTTATCGAAATGAAAACAATATACAAATATAAAATGGAACAGGCTCACCAATTCAATATTTGTTATTGGTCGGGATATGTAATCACGTCGGGCTCACCAATTTAGGATTTGTCCTGGTGCGAACTTGACAGACGCAAAAACCAATCACTAATTATTCGGACTTGTTATATACCCACTAATACGAGACCAAGGAAGAACACGATAGCGTAGTCGGATGGAATAGTATATTTGGATGGTTGTGCCAAAATACCGATGCGTTCCAACTAACTGGCTAGAGAGTCGAATACGAGCAATGCAACGTAACACGACAGCGTGCCAAATGGCGAGGATGCGTAACCGAATGCCTTCAGCTTAGCGAGTCCAGTTAAACTATCAAGGTTAGCATCAATGTTGAATGCCGCCAAACTCTAGACTATTGATTTTGGGGAAGTGTGTGACACTACATCGTTATTTTTCGATTCCATAACATAAAGTATTTAAGTTAATCGCAAGGTGGGTATGAAGTGACTTCACTTCGTTCAGTTATTTAATTTTAGGAAGACAGTTGAGATTATAATGGCGCACTACACAATATTTAGTGAATTTGAATGTAATTCTTCTATTTACTTCCACAGCTTATGCTGAGGAGTTAAGGAGTCACAATGGAGTAGCGTGTATTTGAAAATTTTTTCCACGAGTACATAATTGAACAAGAGGGACTTTAGTCCAGAACACACGGTGTTTGGATAATCTGTAACCAATTTTAAGTGGAGATTGAATTCAACGATTTCTCCAATCATGTAGGGTAAAATGGTTTTCCTGGTCTGAAGTACTTATCTCTGAAACGTGTATGATATTGGAACTCAGTGACCTTGCTAACAGACTTATTTTGAGTACTAACGCTACCGTGCCACTAAGTTCCCTGCATGTTTTCGGTCGTGAATATCTAATACTAGGTAGTTGTTTGTAGAGTCTTATCATTGCAGTGTGTTTTAAGTTCTAACTTAAAAAATCCCCGGCACATAATAATTATTGTACCGTTTGTAACCATAAGCACATGAAGCGATCGCGAAATCGTGCTGTCCTGGAGTACCTCAGTGAATAAATTTGAAACGTCCGTATGGCCGATAGTTGTCCAGATTGTATCATATAAGGGTAAGACTTATTTAGTAACGATGCTATGCTTTGTCTTCCCGCTTTATGCTAGTTGATCTGTGGTTATTGTATAAAGACTCAAAACTCACTTTTCGGTTTGAATCCATCCCTTCTAGACCAGATATCTAGCGTGCAGATTTGACGGCGATTTTACACGTGGCAGATAGCGGACTGGCCTTCGAATGCAAACTAGACTGTTGAGAGAAATCCTAGGACTGCGTTCGGTGTCACATATCCTTTCATCTCTTGGTTAGTACCATGAAGGCCTTCTCACAAGCCCCGTTGTGTAAATAATGGAATCAAAAGGTTCTTGTTGAAGATAAAGTACTGCTGGGATATAGTCACGAATGGGTTGTGTTACTTCACTAAGTTGTAGCTCTGCAAATCTCGAGACATCACTAAAGGCTGCATTGAATATGAAAAGCGACTGATGTATGCTTGTGTTGCCTGTCCTAATCGACTTTACTTACATACTAGGTTCAGGGCCAGGAGCTATGCTGGAATACTCACAGTAATTCCCATTAAAAATTTATGTCTTAAAGGAATCGGACATGGAAAAAGCCGAAAAACCATTTTATTACTTCAATAAAGCTCTTTTGGAAGATACCAACACGTCGATGTTATATATGGTCACGGCTAAGGCACTGGAAATGGCAGCTTTATCGTCGGGTAGTTCAGCAGAGCTTATTTAGTCTTTTGTATCTGTGAAATCCGAATTAGCAGACCATCTAAGGCGAATACATACTTTTTAAGGAGTATTTAAACGGTTGTGGTGATTATACTGACGCCACTCTAATTTAGTTCTAACTCTGGATGTTAATATTGACAAGTACCTGTAACTGTGTACATCTATCTATTGTTATATTCCTTACTATTTCCTAATGCAACTCTGAATCCTGGCAAAAACCCTATTATTTTGTGTACAGAAGGGGCCGCGTACATTTCTAAAGCGTTCAGCCTCGAAAAATCACCAAGTAACCGACATGCTTCAGAATGAGCAGCCAATGTTACCAAAATCAAAGCGGAGAATACATTATTTTCACTCAGGTTCTTCGCATACTTTGCTTTAGTGTGCATCATCCACATATAAAAATGCATGTATAAATTACCTACCTTTAGTGATGATGAAGATTCAGATGACCCAGTTAGTGGTAATAGAAATGATTGTGAAATTTATCTTGCTACAGGTAGTGGTAATAGCATAAAATGTAGATACTAATGATTAGGGTAGTTCAAAGACTTGGAAAAATAAAAAAATCATGGAATTAAGTGACTAAGTAGGTTTGCGTTGGGAATTGAAATAAGGTTTCATCTATGAAAAGGAAGGAAAAGAAAGGGATGAAACAAAACCTGAATGTTCTGGTTATTTTTTGTTTTCCCTGACTAGAAAAGAGACAAAAGTCGCGAGATTGTCATCTGGATACAAATTCTAGTGAAATAAGCTTAAAATCTCGTATCATAAGCTGTGTACGGTTAAGAGTTCCTTTAGAACAAAAAGCTCATTGGTTTTGGCACTCATCTTCAAATCAGTGGGTGAAGGGTTCAATCTACGTTCCACATATCGAGGTTGTGTGGTAGTGTGGTTGTGGTGTAAATTACTACACTATGATAAGGGTCTGAGGGAGAAGTCGTACTGCTGCTAGCTGGATGGGGTGTGACAGCAGTAAGGTGTTTCCCTTCGATGACCAGCTGTGCCATGCTGATGCTGACTTCTCAGTGGAGGGGAGGGGAGGGGGTTGGAAAAAGTCGACCCCCAAAATTACACACTCCACCATGCTCGACGGTCTGTCGGGCCGGCGGTTTTGGTTCATTTGTCGTTTCTTTTCGACCATCCGGCCCCAAAAATACAAAGGTTCAACATGATCATACACAAAAGGCTGCGTGTGACAGGCCTCAAACAGATGTCTGATGGGCTCTGCGGTCGCACAAATCTCTTTCAGCTACATTAAGAAGAAATAGCCTTCCACGGTGTGGGCAGACGGGAAGTGTCAACCGCCCTCACAACTCTGTCAGCACTCAAGTTTCCTTGGACTGCTATCTACGTCTCCCCCCCATTACCTTCTAATCTTTTCACGTCTGTCAACTAACGATACTATAACATCTTCAATTTCTCGTATCTCTGTAGCCTTCGACAACGATCTGAGTCCACAAAGCAGCATCCTTAGTCTCCTAAACCACTCTCCAAATTACATATTGGAGCCTTCAATGTCCACACCCTCCATCAAACTAGTCAACAAGCTTCGTTGGTAAAGACTCTAGCAAGTCGAGCCATGGATGTGTGCTGTGTTTGTGAGGCAACATACAGGACGCAGGTGCGGTTATTCACCTGACCTCTCCCGGCCAATCTGGTGAATCCGCGAAATTCACCCTTCGATTTTCTGGGGATCCGATAGCTAACTCTCACGGTCTTGCAGGTGTAGGGGTAGCATTAAGCACTAGGGCAGAAAACTCACTACTAGACTGGATCCCAGTTGATAGTCGCCTCTGCGCTATGCTGGTGAACGGCACGGTGAGAACTGAAAGGACCAGTGGAACTCGCCGTTGTCTCTTTGTAATCTCTGATTACGCACCCACTGACTGTAGTTTAGACGAAGTGAAGGACGAGTTCTACTGTAAACTGTCTGGCCTCCTCTCTCTGCAGAACTTTTGGGAGAGTAAAAGTCTAAAAGAACCTAAAATTATTGTCTACATTTCGATTCTGTTTCTATTGTCATTATCACCTCTAGCAGGATTACTTTCGTAATCACTGCTATTGCCACTAATTGGATTATTTAAATAGCCATTATCATAAATGACAGTTAATATATGCATGTATAAATTACAAAATTCACCGTTTGTCCACAACTAAGCATAATTGCTGTCATGTCTGTGAGTAGGTAGGACTATGTAAATTGATTTGTGTGCTAAATACAGTTGAAAATTATATTATATTGATTTAGGTGACTTGTAAAGTAATATGGGACGCTCATTCCATACTATTTGAAACTTGTCGGCTGGATGTATCTGCATCCCAGCGAGAATCGAACCCAATACCCATCGCTCGGATAGTAATTACTCGCGTATTGTGTTCTCAGTTGATGATTACTACAATCCGACATTTAATGGTTAAACTGTGACTCAACGGCTTAAGCATCCAACTTTTGACCAGTCGGTCACGGGTTAAAAATCTCGACATATCAAAATTTGGGTAGCCAAGTTGTACCTTTAACCCTCACACAGTATGTCTGGTTCATTGTCTACTCCACAAAATTGCACGTGGTTGCTAAGTGCATTTCGTTCAGTGTCGTTCGGTCAAAATCCACCGATTTTTTATATTGAGAAAAAATACTCAACAATTATGAGTGGTCTGATTTATTTTTTTTAATATCAGGAAATATGAATACGTAATCATATGCCGCCTTGTTCTTGTCTTTCACGTTTTTTTGCTTTCTCTATTTTAAAGGTCTTTAAAAACCTGAGATAATCATGAATAGAACCCGTAGCTACATAATAGTAAAAAATTAGTGTGCCTAGTTTGCAGATCTGAGTTCTGAACTCAAAACATTTTTTTTCTGCCCGTAATAGAGATGAAACGAGATAGTGACTGGCTTTTTTCTACTTTTTTCTAAATTCACCAACTAACCAACCATAGTGCAGATAAGTTAGCTTATTGTAAACAGATAAGTTATATCACGGTTACTCATCTGACTACATAGGCTTAGGAGATTCTTTCGTTTGGAATTATGGTTATCGACGTCTGTTTGCATTTACGATTTTGAGATTGAGGGTTAAAAGAAGGTTAGAGTGCGAAAGTTCGATTTTAAGAGTTAAGCTTTCGTTTGAAGAGTCTAAGGGTTGAGAATTTGACTTTACAACAAATATAAGCTCCAGTACTGAAAAAGGATCTACCCTCTGATTTTTAACATTGACAACATTGTAAAGTGTGTACCCATGGATATGCGTGCAATGATAAATGTTGCTTTGTTAACCAAGAAAAGAAATCAGTTCTCTTTTGGTTGACATTTAAAAGAAGTGTCTCTAAAATGTTTAGTAGGTGATAAAGAGATATTGTACCTTGAACTTATACCACCGTAAAATACTGTGTAATCCATTTCGATATGGGTAAATACCAGTCCTAACACAGCTTTGATAATATATATTTGTGGACCTGAGTGCTTACCAAGAAAAACACTTTAAAAGGGCGAAATACGAAAGGTCATGCAAGTTTATAAGTATGCATCAAGGTATAATTCTATATGATACATTGCGTAATTTTTCTAATGTGACTTACAGTTATAATGCTTGGTTTTGGTGTTATTTCAGTGACAAAATCTATTATCACGTAAAACAATTCCAAAATGAATGCCCCAGACCTTGGGATCATTGCGCTTGAGATCTTTTTCCCAAGATTTTATGTTTCCCAGCATGATTTAGAAGTAGCAGATGCATGTGTTGGAAAGTATACCCAAGGATTAGGCCAAACATCCCTCGGATTTTGCTCGCTACAGGAAGATATAAACTCGATATGTTTAACTGTTCTCAATAACCTCATCAAACGTACAAATCTTGACCTGAGGAAAGTAGGATTCCTTGAGGTAAGTTGTGTAAAATCTCTTTTTATTGCTATATTTAGAGATTATTTTGTTTGTAGAGGTATCACTGCGAATATATAGGATGATTCGCCTTCATATGATAGGCTGTGTATCATGGAACCACCACATATACTGGTTAACACTAACATAATGTATGGATACATCTACTCCGCTGACATTGGTTGTGAACCATACCACCTAGAGTCTCCAAACACTGGTTTCTGTTGTCACGTGGACCCCAACCGGCTAGTTTGCATCTCCCTACACGACTCAGACCAGGAGTCAAGGACTTCATGCATTGGTGCCATGTTTTAGTCTGTCCGCCTAGAGCCTTATTCCAACCTAAACCTATTTCAGCTAACATTGCACGACGAGACGGACGGTGGCTTGGCATCCATAACACATGTCCTGGCCGTATCAGTTGATAAAGGTTTATGACATCAATTGACTTACCTCTCCCCCCTAAAACTCTACACCTGACTTCTGTGTTGGTGAGATGATGACCCCACGACACTCGACCTATGCTACGGTGGTCAAACACCTGAAGCTTTCTCATGCCCTCTACCTTTAATAATTAGGTTTCACAGCCTTACACTAGATTAGAGCAGACTGCAACATACTACACTTGGCCTTTAATAGACAGTCGGATATTGTAGCGGCACCATAAATGGTGCAAGTTGGCAAAATCCGGTTGAACCTTTGGTATCTGTGCAGATATAGATATTTCATCGGCCACTGATCCTCCTGGGCTAATCTGGCTTCCCAAGTAAGTGAAGTAGTTAACGTCTTCAACCATTTCATTCCTTGTTGTTAGCTGAAGACCAATCCTGAAGCAACAATTGGGATTTGGGTGACAAGAAACGCATCTCAAAGATTCTCAAGTTGCCACTCAAGGTTTCCAGGAGATTCCGCTTCTTGTCAGCGTCTCAACCTGACAACATTATGTCATTTGTGTATCCTAGGTCTACCCAGAAGTCTCATGTGATAAGATCGATCTCTGTGAAGTCAGATGACGAGAGGGAGATCTCCATACGTACGACAACGATAGAATTGAATAAGAATGGCGAGCGCAGGCATCCTTGACGGAAACCACTCTCTGCACACAGCTGACGTGACAACCTATCATAGGGTGTAACATGTCCACGAGTGTTTGAGTAAAGAGTCTTCAACAGAGTGATGTACTTACTCGGTACTCCTTTCGGTGAGAGACACTGTCATAAAACCACTGGGTCGACGGAGTTGGATGCCGCCTTCGGGTCAAGAAATACGGTCAGTGTGAGGCATTGGTAATTGTGGCGGTGTGGCCGTGTTCAAGAAGCTATGGAGTGTGAATATCTAGTCGATGCACCAAAAGTCAGGTCTGAATTTTGCCCAGTTTTCTTGTTTTAGCTGTCTGCAAGCTGGACTTATACGTCTAATGGTTATAGAACCTAGAACCTCGGATACTGTGTTTGTCAGGCTGATTCTTGTGTAGTTATCACAAGAAGACGTTTTGCCTTTCTTGTAGACTGAAACAATCAGTGGTTGAGATCAGTTATTTTGGATCACATTTAACTCCTATATACTAGTTAACACTTTCGTTAACTTGACTGAAAGTCCTCGACCATCGTCTTTGAATACCTCATGTACTAGTCCTTCTGACTTTGGTGCTCTTCCTCGTTTCAGATAACCTACTGCTTTCTCGGCTTCTGGAATTGTTGAAGGTCTTCTCCTAATGTTTCATTCAGATATCGACTAGATGGCGTATGGAAGGCAGTCGGACTGTTTCGCTCATCGTCCCAGTCGTGTACCCTGAGAGTAGATCACAGACTCATCCTTCTCCTCTATTGTCTCACTAACCGTTGACATTTTTGGCCCAGTTTCCTAATAGGTCTAATAACCATCTACTGTTACCTATGTCCACTGGCTTTTCAATCCCTTCAACATTCACTACTCACCACTGTTCATGATCATATCGTAAACGTTGTATCAGTCTACATTTGAGTTGCTTCCACTCCTGATCAGGCTTGCAGACTGCAGGGATGCATTAGTGAACATCCATTTATTTAGAAGAAAGGTGCTGAGATCCGCTGGTCTTATATAACTACTCTTTGAGAGTCGGTTACGGTCTTCATCGGTGTTTTTACAGCAGACTGGAGATGGTGCCAGGTTTTTTCTGGATGAGTGATTTTGTTGTGTTCCAGTAACTGTCCAGCCAAGTTTCCCAATGAAAGTAGCTTCAATACTCTGATTATCGAGCTGTACTTCCAATAGGCTCAGACATACACGTGCTGGGAACAGTTCGTGGTCTCTGTTTGAAGGTGATCCAGAAGAGGCGGAACTCTTCTACCGATTTTTTCCAGCGATAACTCCCAATAATATGGTCTATGTGTGTCCACGGCTGAGTTGAAGTTGATGGACATCACTTCAGAAAACATCACTCTTCATGTCTGATATTTGTGCTGCCTAGAAATGAATGGTCATGACGGCACAGTTATGTATGTTAGAGTAAATATCTCAAAGATGTTACTCTAATATACATAAGCCATATCCTTGGGAACAGCGAGACATGGAAGAAGCATGAGTGTTGAGTAACACGCGGCACCTAGTTAGTCTTATTAAATTAAGGAAAAAAGCCGAGAAGATAATGGTTGATGGAACTATCACCGAAAAGGATAGAACTCTGATAACCTGACAGGAAAGGCGGTTAGAAGTTTGGGCCGAACACTTGGAAGCACAGTTCAAGTGACCCCCAGCAGCCACGCTTCAGTTGTCCAACATCCAGCGGGAACCTAAATGGGACGTAGACGATGGTCTTCTAACTCTCCTTGAAGTTGAGAAAGGTGTATGGAAGCTGAAAGGATGCAGAGCAACAGGACCTGACAGTTTTCCACCTGAAGTCTTCAAGGAGGTAGGTAGGTAGGAAGTTGCTGGTTAGATTGACGGAGATACTAAATAGTGTGAGGGGATAAGAGTTAGTCCTGTCAGACTGGTCTACTTCACTGATCATCGCAGCCTATAAGAATAGCAAGAAACCTTCCTGTGACAACCACAGGGGACATAGGTTGAGTAATATTGTGTCGAAGAAGCTAGGGTCCATAGTTATCTGACGCGTAACTGTAGCCTGAGAACAGCGAAGTTGAGAAAGCCAGAGAGGTTTGAGACTGAGCTGGACAATGGTGCATCGATCAGATTTTTACCCTCCTACAAGCTCTGGAACACCGGCACATACACCGGTCAGTGCCCGACACTGAATGCGTTTTGCAGAAATCTGAGTATGTTTGGCCTGTGTCTCGCTGACACCTGTCAGATGTAAAATGATGCTTTGGGACTGGTCTGCTGCGAGTACTCCCAGTTTATTGATAAGGAGTGAAGTGGTGGAATATGTCGACCACTTGACTAACTTGAGGAGTTGTGTCAGCATGAAAAGGCTGGTTGCTAACGAAATCCTAGATGGAATACAGAAGGCCCATTTGGCATTTGCCAACTTTGGTCACCTGTGGTGCCGACTGGCGGGATATCGGATTGCATATTAAAGGACGAGTTTACTGCATTGCAGTCTGTTCTGTTCTGCTATATGCCTGTGAGACATGGCCGTTAAAGGTAGAAGATATGAAGTGGTTGTAGGGTTTAGATCGCAGATGTCTTCGCAGGATTGCTGGCGTTTGGTGGAATCACTGTGTGAGCAATGTTAAGGTCATGCGAATTGATACTAGTTAAGACAGGCAAGTCGATTAATGAGGTTACGACCCTTCATTGGCTGAGATGGCTTGGACGTGTACTGTGCATACTGATTGAGCTACCACCTGCCTCGATGTTATATGATAGGGAAAGTTGAATTAATTTGGAAGAGGGTTGAGAGTGGTCAGATTAAGACGTGATATCAGTTGAATAAGCCTCCTACTGTTGGTCTGAGTCGTGTGGAGAGATGTAAACTGCCTGGTTGGGGTTCCCGAGACGAAGGGAATCAGTGGTTTAGAACTCTTGGTGACATGGCTGGAAGTCGGTCATAATGGCGCAGATGTATTTACTGGTTGACATTTTTTGAAATTTGAGTATCTACGCTATGGGTTATCTTTCAGTTGTTTTTCTGTGGAGTAACTTTTTTCACTTTGATGTCGTTCTTTTTCCTTCGGCTTGTTCTTTCTGTGTTGTTATGAAAATTTTCAGGTTTGACTAATGCACGTGTGTTGGTAGTTGGACGTTGATTTTGTGATTTATGCGTCAGTCAAGAATAGAAATTTAAGGTTTTAAATGAATAGCTCTGGCTTCAAATTATTATGATAAAGGCTTCTGCAATTTTTTGTAAGTGGGGAAGTTAACATCTATAAGAAAAAAGTGGAATATGAGATTCCTATTAAGAAAATTACAGTATGGGCTGTTAAAGAATAATGTTTTTTTTGTAGCTAATGTCTTCAGACTTTATTCCAATGTACCTGAGTTTAAACATATACACAAGATATGAACCAATCAAAGTAATTTGTGAGTTAACGATAATAAATGTACGGGCTATGCACTTTATAGTGGTAAAAATAGTAGTAGTGTAAGGGACAAGACAAATGTTGAAAATGACATGTCAGTGATAACGGGTGTTCATATAGAAAACGCAGAGTAGTTGAAACAGGTTTTATTATAATCCCGGCGTATTCAGAAAATCAAAACACGCTGGGATTATATTAACACCTAATTATATAATGATTAAACCTGACTTGGCACCTGACGTCTTTCCTGACAATCTTAACAACTATGGCCTGGTTGTTCATGAAGTAGTTCAAAGTTTGGAAAAGGACAATACAATTGTATAATACTGGAGGATGAAGGCAGTGGATAAATAGGGTTTGGATGTGAAAACAGTGACAAAAATGAGAGCATTTGAAAAATCTATGGGAAAGTCACTCATTAAGTCTTACCTGACCAAGGTGGCGGTAAAGGCTGTAGAAACGTTTTTTTAATATAAAGCCTTGAGTTGTTCACTAGAATACCTGTGGCTTCAGCCATATATGAAAGACAAGTTCGGACTACAT